TGCGTGAAGGGATGAAATGCTTGTCAACGGCAACAGACTTGCGCACGGAGGCTTTCCACCAACGACTGGCCATTACTCTCCTCTCCTTCAAACCAATACTTCCTCCGACCGGGCGTCCCTCAGCGCCACAGAGACATCGGAATGCCACAAACGAATGTGGGGCGGCGTCCGAGAGACATGTGAACCGGTCGCCACTATAACCACTTACACACACACACGCACACAAACATGTCACGGAGTGCCAAATGAAATAAAGCTTTTAAGTTGTCTGTCTGTGAGCTGGCATGATGGAACAGAGCTGTGAGTGTTCTGGACGTTGTCCCTTTTCCATCCCGATTGGTAAAGATCTTCAGCAGAACTCTTGCAGCGATGCAATAAAGGATGTTCCTCCATTGCGGAGGCGTGCCAAAACATTTCCTTTCCTCGCCGCTGTAGAGCTGACAACCACATGCCGCACTTGGATTAGGAGAGAGGCGGCGGCGGCGGGTCTGTTTGTTAGAATATTCAAAAGTGTCAACTGTGTTGTGAGAGATTTTCGAGCAAGACCACAGCCAGTGGCTCTGTGAGGCCGCTCTGTAGGCAACAACGGTTGTTCACAACGCCGACGCTACCATTCGATTCCTCCTGGTGCGGTGGGGGCCTCGACCGCAGCGCTCCAGAAGCAAACAGCCAATAAGTAGCATCGCCTAACAGGCACCTGCTGCCATGGCCTCATTCCCATTTGGCCCGGTCCTGCTCCCCTGCTGGAGAGAGACACAGAGAGAGAGAGAGAGAACCTCCTGCCGTTTGCCATCTTATGGTTCAGTTTTACCTCGTTCAATATTGAAGTAAAATCACAGTATTGAACCAACTGCAGTGTTTCCCCTAGCCCATTAAAAAGGGGGTGGGGGTGCCTCCCCATCCTGAAATTACCTTGTGCCAGACTACCCCCTCCCTCCCCCCCATCACGTCCCTGAAGTGTTAGACCCAGGGAGACAATGCACTGGGTTTGTTTTTACTAGCTAAGCCGAGTTTTAGTGATTTTTGTTGAACTTGTTTTTATGAGTTCTTTAATAAAAACATTTTTTTAATTGCTACCAAAATGTCTTTGCCTCATCTACAGTGACTTCTTGGGTGCTTTATTAAAATCATTAAACTAGGATTTCCTGCAGTGTAATTTCCCAGTTGGTGTTGTTGGTAATATCTCCCTAAAGCCCCGTCACACGAGGGAGGAGATGAATGTCGGTTTAAAACGGTTATGGCACAACATCCAGTGGCCGAGCAACTAACCAGCGCTGCCCTAGAAAAAAGTTTTTAAAAAAAGTAAAAAATAAAAGGGAGGACAGATTCACAGAAGCTAACTAATTTAATCATCCGTTGTTGTTGTTGTTGTTGTTCCCACACCACATATAACACATATATAAAAGCCTGACCTAATACAGTAGCGACATATATTAGACGCAGAGACGCAAATGTATGTCTTATTTCATATATTGTGATTATGCCACCAATACGCCCAAAATGAATTGTTCCATCTCTCTGTGCATGGAGGACTTTTGCGCTCTTGGGGTCTTGTCAAGCGCTTGAGGAAAAGTGCACGGACAATTCCAGGATTTAAAACGTATGTACTTAAAAAGTAGATGGCGCCTGCTCTTTCTCCCAAGTTCTGCTAAGGCGCTCGGGTCTTCTGCTTTGCCAGCCATCTTGTCCGTCAGATCTCTCCTCCTAATGACTGCCGTCACTCAGGGATGTAACTGTCAAACCGAGTCAATGGCTGAACAGCCCACACTTCATCATTGGATAATGAGCTGTGTGCATCAACACATTTAGCCATTTTCAGTCTACATGTCAGCAGCAAGACAAGCTCTGAAACACGTTCCTTGTCCTGTAATAAGAACAAACGTTTCTGCAAAATGTCCCATTTAAGCGGACAAAAACAACAATGACTGAGAGGTTTTTTCGGTGGGATAAGAAGCCGCTGAAATAGAGCGGAGGACTGCGAGGCGGCGCCGGCATCAACGCGGAGATGATAACCCCTTTGTGCGTGCGGGAGGAGAGGAGGATGGGGGAGGGGAGGAAGGTGAAGATGTCTTCAGATGTGGCAGTTGTGATGAAAAGAGAAGCAAACGACTGGAGACAAGAGGTGGGGAGGAGAGGAAGAGGAGTAAGGGGGTGGGGGTTGCATTATTCATCCATGCTGACCCATCAGAATCTCTGATTCATGTGGAGAAGGGCATCAGTCAAGTCAAAAGCTTTCTGTCTGCCTTCACTCATATGCACACGCGGACACACACACACACACACACACACACTTAATTGCAAAATATCTCCTGGCTAAAAAAGGATAATTATCGGCCCGGTTTGCTTTCGAGACAATCAACAAACAATGGAGATTGGTCCTCGCGCAGCACGGTTATAGAGGAGTTTTCTTTCAGGTCTACTATTGTGTTTCAATGGGAAGAAAAACGTCTATCCAAAATGTAGGCAGACATGCCAATAAACAAACATGGGAATAAATCCAGAAGATGATAGTGCTTAAATGATTTAATACACAACTGCTTTGTTTTTTGTTATTTCACTATAATTAATTGAATGATATGTCATTTGGAAAACGGAATATACACTTACTATATGTGTTGTTATAATGTATTTGTCCCACACATTGTAAATGAATGGTAAAATAGATTGTGAATGGTGGTTTAAACACTAATATGTTAATGTTTAATGGTTAGTTGATGATGCACATGGTCATTATTTTTTTTGAGTATAGTAATTAATTTTTATCATGAAATGTATTTTTTGGATTACTGGTAATTTACTGCGAGTGTTTCCATATCAACCGGATATATTTGGGCCAACATGGTTGAAATAAGAGATTTTCAGTGAGTGCTGTTTAGGACAATTAAAGCACAGTAGAGAAAAATCTTTCATAGGCTTCTTTTGTAACATTTAAAAATAAAGATTTACTTTTGTTTTTAAATGACAAAAACATATAATTACATAGACATTCCATAGTGCTTTGCCTTGTGGGGATAACTTATCTCAGGAGACTCATGAGAACCTGTCATTTCACTGCACATCCTGGATCCTCTGTTGCTCTTCCTTTATTTTTCCCCCCAAGTCTTTTGTTTGTTTTGTTTTTCATCTATGTGGCTGTTCCCTGTCCATGCACAAGGTCTATATGAATAAAATTTACTTTACAGACTTTGAATATTTTAAATGGAGCTCTAAAGTAATCAAGAAATACAATTAATTCTCATTTGTAATGGGTTGGAAACCGACCTAATGGGTGCATTCTGCACGCTGTACACATTGTTTTCTGCCGTCCCTGAATGAACAAGTAGAGAAGCGGAGCATACAGAGAGCTCACTGTTTGGAAGGCTTTGAAAAGGTCAATTAATATCAACGCCTCGACAACAAAGTTTCTCCCTGCTTGTAATACAGGTTTCTACGCTTCCGGCATCAAAGCCTCCCTCCTTCAAGCTGACTGGTGCAACAAAGCCAGAGGACAGATTCCCGACAAGACGCGTGGACGGGAATAACATTTAACACAAGGGAGGCAAGTGGGGAGGAAAAAAAGAGGGGGGGGAGCAGTTAGGATAATGCAGCTGCGATGAATGGGGAATAAGACTTCAATGAGGCCTTTGACGAGAAACCGAAGCGGCTCCGGTGGGAGCGCACGTCATCCGGCATATCCAAGGCTGCATGGATCTTACGGTGGTATCTGCTTGGAAGGAGCAAGCAGCCATCGAGGCCCATGGTTGAACCCTGAGAAAAGCTATTTAAGGGAAGTACTTGCCATCACTCATTTCACAAGCTACTGCTCCCAACATTGTCTAGATGAATACCCGTGGGGCTGAGCGTCCCTCGGCTCACGGAAGAGCGTATTTGTTCTGTTTCCCAGGGACGGAGACCGAGGAAATGTGCCGGATGCATCATTCTTCCTCTACGTATACTGACTTTTCCCAGTCAACATCATGCAAATATCTTGATTCCTCTCATGAAGGTGCTGTGTGTTTTCATTTGTGAGGCATGGGGGGGGGGGGGGTCCACTACTCAAGAGAGGAATCCATGTGTATAAATGACTGATTAAAGAAATTAGGGATGTGGAAATGGTCTGGAACAATAACCAGCAAGTGCACAAATTGGCCTGAGGGAAAATTCCCCATCTGTGCGTGAGGAGAGAGACCTTCCTCGGATTCACCGCGATTTTTTGCAGAGTTTACACAGGCCACGCAGCCGAAACACAGCAGACCTAAACAGACATTTGGAGTGTACATGATTAAATCCCAAACAAGCAATAGCCTTAGGAAAATGTGTCAGGATGAATCGATGTATCATTAAACAACTGCCTGCCTGAACGCACGACTGGCTGCTTTAACTGCAGATCCAACAGTGTTTAGTTACAGACGTATGAGAGGTCTGTGGACTACAAAGGATGCATCTGCAGATGGGCTTGTTTTAAGTTATTGTCTGGAGAAGCGGAGGCAGCAGCCGCTCTGTTATTTTGTCCACGAGGGTTTAGTTCTAATTTTCCATTGTGTGTTTATTTCTTCTTTTTTTTGAGACCTTAAAAAAGGACTTAGCACCCAGACTCATTGTACCGGGAGAAGGACCATCAGAAAAGGACACTTAAAAAAAAGGATGAGGAACAAAGGCTTTGCCAGTCTGCCCCGGTCCCTCAAGGAGGGAGGAGGGGGGGCACTCACACCGATGCCTCCAACCAGCCTGCTCTGCACAGCAGACCCCTCGGTGGGGTTTTAACCCAAAGTCTCCGATGATGATAAGATGAAGCAGAAGAAAAAAAAAACATGCACAGAAGACTCCTTCCGCCCGCTAAAGGAACGGGGGACATGTCCCCCTCCGGCATGGACACACACGCGTATTTTACTTCATAAACGGCTATTCGACAGGTGTAAATAAGCCGCGGTGGGTGCGGCGCGCGGCGGCTGCAAACGTGTCACCGGGGAGGGAGAACGGAGGGAGGGAGGGAGGGAGGAGGGAGGGAGGATGCTGGTTACCTCGGCGGGCAGCGCTCCGTCTTCATGTGGGTGGATGTGCAGCTGGAAGCTTCCTCTCGGGGACCAGCAGGGGCGAATGTAATCCAGCGGCAGCGGAGAAAGCTCTGCCCTTTGCGGGGGGACGCATGCACGCATCGCCGGCGTCTCCCCTCAGCGTGCGGACTGTGGAGGGGGAGAGAGAGAGGGAGAGAGAGAGAGGGGGAGACCTGTCGGGTGGCGCGGCGGCGGGTCACGGGCTGCTCCTCAGCCCCTTTTGTCGGGAGAGCATAGCCGGTCGGGTGGATGTCACTGATACTGCCTGCCTCCTTCTTTAATGCCCTCCTCCTTTCCTCCCTCTCCTCCCCCCCTCCCTCCTCCCTCTCTCTCTCTCTCTCTCTCTCTCTCTCTCAAACACAACACACTGGAGCTCTCCCCCGCCCTCGTGCACATGACGTGATGCAGGCAAGATCTCCAATAGCAACCGTATCCCCCCCATCACCTCTATTACCCCCCGTTTCTACCCCACGCCCCCCCCTTCCAAACACCCCCTCCAGGTCCGGCTTTTACGCTGACTGTTGCAAAAAAAAAAAGAAAAAAGAAGAAGAAAATTGGCTGCCCAGGTTGGTCACTGTGTTTTGGTGACAGATTTTCCCCCACTGTGCCTCCCCAAGGGCTAAAACGAAGATAAGCACCTTGAAATCCTGTAGATTCCCATAATACAGAATCTAATTATAGCTGTTGGCAGGGAGTCAGAGCCCCCAGAGACAAACTACCCTACTAAATTACTGTGGGACATTTGAAAATATCACTGTGGGATTTATTAATAACACGGTGGGAGGTCGGGACAAGAACATTGTATGGAATAATTTATTATTGGGAAAAATGCTAGAGTTAACACCTGCATGTATTTTGTTGTGCGCAGTTGTACATTTAATATAGGTTCACTTTGTTAATGTAATCTAATACAAAAGCAATTAATCAAGCATGAATGTTATGATGTTCTGTTTTTGTTGAAGCTTTTATATGTGTTGATTCAAATTGATGATAGTTTTGTTAAATTACACTGCATGCTTAGAGGTGTTTAAACAGGCAATATATTTAATTACCTAGTAAACATTTAGGCCTCTGGAGAGAAAGGCACAGAAATGGATGCACGCAGTAACATTAAAACATATGTGCAATAAAGACGACGATGTGCAATAACCACTGTGGTATGTTCATTTAGGTCTTAGTATATTTAGTTACTGTGGCCTTTGCACTCATTTTGTATTTTTTACATTTTTATTCTATTCTGCTGCCCTTGTTTTTTTTACCATGTATCATGAGTGCACTGTCCACTTTGCTGCCACGACCCTGTGAATTTCCCCACTGTGGGACTAATAAAGGAATATCTTATCTTATGTTAACGATGGACGACTTGTCCAACTGGGACAAAGAAACGCATTTCATGCAGTTTTCTTTGGCTTAATGATACAATTAACATTAAAAATACTGGGCAGTATTTGCTTGATGAAACCCATTATGATCCGCAAGCTATGAAAATATCCGGTTCTGGAACCATTATTGTATCATGGCACTTATTTTGCTTAAAAACATCAAAAGAAAACTGCAGCGACGTATCAACGAGCAAAGAGGCTCCACAGACGAAGGAAGGCAGTCGTCTTCTGAGATTTGCCGTTATTTAGGTCACGCGACATGACGGGAAAACAACCGCCGCGAGGTCAGAATGTGAGGTGTTGGAGGTCGGCACGGGGGAGGCTTTGTTCTCCCCCCGTGCAGCAAACGTCTGCTCACACACAACAAATGCACACGCAGCGCTGCCTCATAGCTGGTTCAAAAAACAAAAACATCCCCCACAACTCACACTTCCCTTCTTGCTCCGACAGAAAGACTGTTTGGCAAAGTGTGAGAAAACCTTGGAACTACCTGCCATCACTTCACTGATGGTTATTGGAAGCTGCACTGGAGGCACAAAGGCCCATTGACTTCCCTTGTTGCTATAGCGACATCTAGTGGGAAGTTACCATCATTTCATGTTGCATTGACTTGACTTGGGAAAACTGGGGAGGGGGGGGAGGGCGTGAAGATTTCTTCCCAGGACTAACCGTGGCTGACCCCTCGACGTCATAGGCCCTCGTCCCGATGCCAATATCTGAATAAAAGGCGTAAAGCGCCCGCTGCCCTTTACAGAAAGGCAAGAGGTCGGGTCAGATACGCACAGCTCTCGGACGCGTGATCTCGTTCGGCGGCGTATACGCTTGTCACGTGGACATGACCCCCACTTTTCCAGCTGTGGTTTCTTTACCCCTCCCCCGCTTAACATGACACCTGTCACATGCAGCACGACATCAACGTCACACTTTTCTTTCCCAATCCAGGCAGTTCAAAGCAACCGGCTCGTATTGCCCGCGTGGCCAGTCGGCATAAAAGCGGCCTCTGTTGCCCGAGCGCCGTCTCCGGCCGGACACCATGTGACCTGGGCCGACTGTATTGCGTTACCGTCTTCCCATTTCCACAGTTTAAGCTCGGGGCAAAAGATCCCTAAAATTAGCAGGGTAAGTGCCCCGTGTCCAACGCTGCCCAGCAGCAGTGACGTTAATTGCACTCTATTTATACAAGAGTGCAGGACTCATAAAGATCACGTTTCTGTTATGCTTTATTTCTGGGCCGTGGCGTTTATGTGGGCAGCGGGAGGCCCGTATTTGGTTTGAAGGGATGAATCAATTGTGAGATGATCGTTTGTTTTTATATTCTGCTCGTGTGAGCCTTTGCAAGCACTTTCCTACTTTCAAAATGAATAAATACTTTATCCTTGTAAGTATTTCAACCCATTTCAGTATGTAATAAAAGCCTTAAAAACAAAAGATGAATCGTTTAAAAAACAATCCCACGCATGATTTTTCCACGTGTAGAACGGACACGGCAGGAGCGAGATAAACAACACACGCAAGCAAACGCAGAGCATGTTGCGATACTGAATTTTATTCAAGTATCCCCGACCCACTTTGTCCTTGAGTTATCATCGGTTAAACAAATCAGCTGAGAAAGAGAAAGGCAGCGATAGTTCATAGCGCCCGACGTGAGTGTGTCCATTTAGGATTTACAGCCTCTCTGTGTGCTTTCGGCTGGGTGGCGCTCAGCAGGAATAAAACATTCATGATAACACAAGAGAAACAAAAGAGGGACTATTAATAGTATGACTTAAGACGCGGGAATGGCCCTATCCGTTTCTGTGAGACTGCGTCCGAAGTTAAAGGGAGAATTCACTACAAAAGAGAATTGACACTTGATCAGGAACAGTTTGCTTGTTTCTTTTTGTCCCCCCCACACACACACACACACACACACACGCACACACACACAGACAATCCAGGGGCTCAAGCGCCGTCCTGCCCTTCACAGCGCGTCCTCGTTCCGACGCCGCTTCTTTGGCCGAACTAGTTGGTTGTTGGCGTGACCCCGGAGATGAGAGCATACGTGGGCACACTTTAGGATCTGGGCTATGAAACCGTTCATTCCGACATTCATACATCATCAATCCGGAAGCTTTCAGATCGTCAGCGAAGCAGCCCTGGGTTCGATTACCACGTGAAGAAATAATCTGGTGTAAAATCTTGTTTGTTTACGTAGTGAATCTTTGCTTGAGAAACTGGAATATCACAAGCTGCATTAGGTGACGTGCGGAGGCTGCAAAGTGTCTTCTTCTCAACGCGTGTGCGTCTCCACTTTACTTCGGCTTGTAATCAGGAGGATAATTAGTTGCTTTTCATTTTGCCACTGGTGCAGCCTGTAACGGCACACGGCATTTCGACATTTGGCTCAGTAACACTTGGCGGCATCAAAGAAACATAACAGATGGTATACAGTAAGTCGGGTCAAACACGTGCTTTCTTAAAGAATTAGCGAAACAACAAGTGAGCTTCCGTATTCCGTGTTTGTTCAAATGCTTCCAGTAATACGTACATACAGCTCAGGGACAATAAACAGGTGAATTGCATTGAAGTCTATCCCACGTCGGAGTCCCGACCAGCTTTAAATAGCAGTAGAAATCAACAATCAATTTGACTTAATGTTAGAATGAGGCGATAGGTGAACAGATCGACAGCCAGAGGCTTTAGCTGGGTGTGTATCGCCATGGCGACCTGTGACATAAGGTCAAAGGCCACGAGGAGAATGACGGAGGTGCGATGGAAGCCTGTGGCGGGTCACAATAAAGTCTCGGAGGGGGGACAACACCAAGTGTAGTGCAGGGGGAGGGGGGGGGGGCAGCGACGGAGGTCAGTGCAGTTCGATGAAAGCCTCCATCTCCTCAGAGATGAGTCCCCTGTAGGGCAGTCTGTGCTTCTCAATGGCGCGCGCCGCCAGGCACTGCAGGGTGACATGGTTCAGCGGGCAGAGGGCCGGGTGCCCGCCGCTCTGCTCGTCCAGCAGCTCGTACGCCGTCTTCCTCTGTGCGTTTGTGGCGTCGAAGTGCGCCCCGGCCTTCATGAGCAGCGCCATAATCTCCGGGCAGCCGTTGTTGCTGGCCACGTGCAGCGGCGTGTTGTTCTCGCCGTCGCGCGAGTCCACGTCCGCGCCGCACTCCAGGAGCAGCGCCGCCACCGCCTGCGAGGGGAAGCGGCCGACGGGGTAGCGGCCGACGGACGTGGTCTCCTTGTCCACGGCCATGTGCAGGGGGGTGAAGCCGCTGCGGCCTCGGGGGTTCAGCTTCAGCAGGCGGTACACGGTGTGCTTCTTCTGATGCTCCTGCTCGGGGCTGCACTCCAGCTTCTCCAGGAGGAAGATGAGGTGGAGGATGATGGACAGCGCTTTGGTGAACTGAGGAGCCTCGGGGGGATTGTCCTTCTGCGCCACGGCTCGCTCGACCTCCCTCACACTTTTCCCCAGCACGGTCATCAGATCGTGGAAGGTGACGCGGGTGGACAGGGTGCCTTTGGCCCGGTCTTGAAGGACAAAAGAGAAGAGCTCCGCAAAAGACAGGAAACTGGAGGCCGTCATGGGGCTGAGAGGGTCCAGGTTGCTCTGCTGCATGTCCAAAGCATATTTCCAAAGGCTGATGCAGCGTTCAAAGTTGCCCGAGTCCGCGTACACGGCCCCCCGGTAACGGATGTAATAGGAGGTGTCCGGGTGCGACGGCCCCAGGATGCGCTCGCGAACCAACAAAGCCTGCATCCTCATCTCATCGGGGTCTGTGATCAGAGCCTCCAGCTCCTCCGCTGTGCCCACCTCCTGCGCGCAGCCGTAGGCAAGGACCGGGGGGCCGGGTGGCGGCTTGCCCAAGCAGCCCGCTTTGTCCCCCGGTTGCCTCAGCTCCATCGCTCTCCTCCAGTACCTCATGGCCCCCAGCAGATCCCGCTTCTTGTCCACGAAAGTGGCCCCGAGCAGTTCCAGGGCGTCGACGCGGTCCTCCCTGGAGGTGCGAGGCTGGTGGGCGAGGTACTCCACGATGTTGGTGTGACCCGTGACGCTGGCGGCGAGCAGCGGGGTCATCCCGTAGCCGTCCCTCTCCATGCGCGCGTTGCACTTGAGCAGCATCTTCATGATGTCCAGGCTGCCCGACTCGGCGCAGTCGTGCAGGGCGGTGTTTCCCTTCACGCTCTTGCGGTTGACGTCGGCGCCGCGGTCCAGGAGGAACTTGGCGATCTCCTTCTGGCCCTTGTAACAGGAGATCATGAGGCAGGTGTGCCCGTGGCGGTTGGCCACCTCCATGTCGGCCCTGTGCTCCACCAGGTAGCGGACGATCTCCAGGTGGCCGTCGAAGCAGGCGGCCCGCAGCGGCGTGGAGTTGGTGAGCGTCGCGTTGTTCACCGAGGCGCCCCGCTTCAGGAGCGCCTTCACCACGGGGAGGTGACCGGCGGCCGAGGCCGCCCACAGCGGCGGAGCCCCCTCGATGGTCTCGCCGTCGAAGTTGACCGCGCCGCCGAGTTCGACGTTGGCTCGGCAGTGGTCGAGGAGGTAGTCCACGACCTCCAGGTGTCCGTAGCGGGAGGCCACCAGCAGAGCGGTGCCTCCCTGCGTCTTCTCCTCGGCTAAAGCCTCCAGCTCCTCTGGACTTTTGTTGCTCAGCAACTTCTGGATAAGTTTCAGCTTACCGTCTCTGGCCGCGTTGAAAACCGCCGTCGGTACATCCATCTTACAGACTATGTGCTGCCCCGCGGGGCGCCGGCCCCATAACCGCTCGTTTCTGGAGAAAAGTGTTTTAAAAAGCAGGGAGGTGACATCTAAGCTCGGACGCGGCTTCTGGCTCGCATCTTTCTGCCATTTTGAGGGTGCTGTCAAGATGGCGTTTGGTGTTGTTTGACAGGTCTATGTTTACTATTGTGGCGGTGCATTGTGGGAGGCGTAGTTTCGACGGAACGCCTCCGCGCAGCAGCGCGCGGTTCTGCGGCTTGAATAAAACTGCATTTCCCTTCCCGGCGTGCGGTTCGTCCGACCGACCGGCGGACGGGTTCGTTTGTTATGGTTTTTTCGGAGCGGCTCTGACGGAGAGAGCCGGCTGGTGCTCTATTCACAAAGCCAATGCGCCAATGGACGTGGTGGGTGGATTGCCATCACCATGGATACGTAAACACTAGGAGCGGAATTCCTTTGGAAGTCCCAAAACACACAATAATACGTGGTTACTTTGAAATCAAAACAATTATTATTTAAAATATTAAAATTCTCTCCATTAAGACAGAGAGCAGGCACAGCAATCACACACACACACACACACACACACACACACACACACACACACACACACACACACACACACACACACACACACCAACAATGTTATTTCTTTTATACAATACAACTTGAAGTCAGCCTAAAAAGTATCCACCGTACCAACTGTCGGGCTGTGTCATCGTTTTTGGTCTTGAGTCTAAATAGTCCAGGCTGAAGGAAAGCAGAAGTCAACAACGCGGTCAGAGGGCTTCTGAGGCCTCTGGCATCGTGAGCAAACATCATCTGCTCCCAACAGCATCAGGCCTCTGCAGTCGTGTCACATTAACAGAATGGACCGTACTCACTGTATCCTGTGTTTGTTGCATTGTGCCTTTGCAACCAGCAATATGGAAATAATTAGTTTTCTTTGGTGATACAGTGCAATTCAAGTAGCACCCAGATAACTTTTTCATCTTAACGTTGTTAAAAAGGGAACAAGATACATATATCAAATATACATACATGAAATGAAATGAATGAAGCTGGAAAACATACAGCACATGACTGACCTAAACGACTTGGAGAGTCTTCACATTACTCGTGCAAAGCCCATGGCAAGTATTGATTTAATATTGACATACACGATGCTGTGCAAGAGCACAGCACTGTGGAATGTTGATGTTGACTTTTACTTTAGCATCTCTCCAAAGTTTGAAAAAGAATCCACTTACTTTCAGATTCAGGAATGCAGTGTGGCACATGTCGCAGCTGTTGATGAGCATTGAGCAGTGTAGTAGGATTAGAATATTGAGTAAGTTCACTACTTTGGGTTTGAAAACCGACACCTCTACTTGCTGAAAGCATCACAGAGTTCAGGTTGCAGAACTAATTTTCAATGTTGCTTTTTGGGAAACCAAAATCATTCTGGAAAGAATTTACAAATTGTGTGATGTTCATTTCATAGAAAATAGTGAGTATTCTTAAAAGTAACTTACATCGTAAGTCTACATCTATAAATAGATGATCATCTATTGACCTCTATTTATCTATTTCATATATCGACATCTAGTCCATCCCACTTCAGATCACTCAGAAGAGCGCACAGAAAACAGACATTTCACCAGGCTGTAGGGCACTGCGTCAATCTGATGTTTCACCAGTAGAGGAGGTAAGATCCACGCTTGGCTTTGGCTTTTAACACTGCGTTCCTAACAGATGTTTTAGTTTAAACAATATGTATGTTTCCATTGATCAACGCAGGTATTGAATCAATCACAATCAATTGCAATCACAGTCAAACGTTTGGGCCTTTCTCATTCAGTGTGTCCAAACGTTTGACTGGTAGTGTATATCTAGAGCATGTGCCAGCATTTGTTAAGTGTGCTTATTAACCGTATGAATCTCACTGGAGGACAGCCGAAAGAGGAAGCATGTTTTTCAAAATTAAACAGGGACTTTGAATGCACAGAGAGACAATATTGCGTGCTGAGAAATGACACCCAGCTTGTCTTCCTCAGAGGATCCCGAACTTAATTGCAAAAAGGAAAAGCTGGAGGTAGCGATGCAGGGTTAACAATCACGGGCCTTGGTCTTGATCCAGTTGAATTGTTAGAGCTTACAACCACTGAGACAAAGAAAAAAAAAGAAAAAAAGCAACAAGCGTTTAGCATTTTTATTCATACGTTCAAAGCTGTCACATAATGGTCATATTAACGTTACATCAACTGGCAATTCAAATATCATTTCTGAATATAAATGATTTCAAGTACACAGAGGGATTATTATTTTCCACATGAGCGAGCAAAACCAACATGTAACATCACTGCATTATTTCAAATACTACAGCTCCAGTTTTAACGTGATCCTCATTGCATTACATGATATTGAGCCACATCACGATGCTCATGAGAGAAGGCAACATCTTTTCTCTCAACACGCAATACTTGAAGAGAAATACACAAACAACGACTCATCCGTTCACATTGCAAAACCACCCGCAAGCGTGTAAATAATGGTGGTTTCAACTCAATTAACCTCGGCTGTCAACGGGCTCGTGGCCGCAACTTGATAGTTGAACTTTAAATTCTCCACAGGCTTCCGCAGAGCTTTGTTTCCGTCCATTGATTTTAATAACACGATGTGCAAACTACGGCTGCCTTGTCATCGGCGTGCTTTGACTTGCCCATTATTTATCTGACCTCTTCTGTGGGACGTGATAGGTGGAGAAGAAGGGGCCTTCAGGACGTGGAGCTGTCAGGGTCTTGACAGGGACTCCCTAGAGGTCCGCCAGCAGCTCACTGAGCAGCACCTCCCTTTCCCCTAGAAGCACGTTTCTCCTCAGACTCGTTCCTTTGTTCACCACCTTTATCTTCATGGCCAGGCTCTTCACCTGCGTCTGGGGCAGCGCGTCAAAAAAAAAGTCTTCGTTGAACACCGGATTCCTGCTGTTCTTGATGATGGTGCTCCTCTGTTTCTGCTGCTTGCCGGGGTTGAGGTAGAGCGCCACGCAGCAGTTGATGCTTTTGATGTCGGTCTGCTTGTCGTAAAGGGCCTCGGCCGTGAGCAAGCGCACCCTCAGCCGAGCTGCCTCTGGGTCGTAGTGGGTGCTCAGCCTCATGGTCCCCCCCTTGTGGAGGTTGATAGTGTGCTCACGCTGCTGGAGGTCCGACGCCGCTCCCCTGGAGCCGCTGCCCTTGCATCCACGGAAGGCAGGCGAGCGAGGGCAGCGCATGTGGCGCCGCTGCATGTTGGGGCTGTTGTCTGCCGAGCTGCACTCATCGGTGGAGACGGAACTGTGGCGTGCCAGGGAGCGCTTGGCACGAGACATCTTGAGGCGGGAAGAGACAGAGAGAGAGGTTAACACACAGGAGAAAGCCTGAAAGGTGATTTTTAACAAGAACAAAATGCTTTTTAGCAGCCACTTAATTTACACTGACGTTCACACCAACAGTGCTCACCTTGGCGTGTGTCTCCTGGGTAATGGAGCGCAGGAGGGAGGCAGAGCGGGACAGCAGCGGCGAGGTGAAGGGGGACGACTCCGCTGAGGAGCAGGTGTCGCTCTCTCCGCCACTGAAATAGCGGTATGGGTTGGGGTCAGCCGGGGCCAGAAGGGTCCCCCCTTGGGAGCGTCTCTGGGAGTTTGGGGAGGTGAGAGGGCTGCCGGGGTCGCTGTGGAACAGGCTCTCCTTGCGGCGGGTATGAGGAGACTCCACCAGGGTGGAAAAGCCATATGAAGTCTGAGCCTTGGGGACATAAGGCAGAGACATTGCAGTCTGTGACTGGGGGTCGGCGTTAGTGTTGCCCCGGGCCCCGTCCGCAGACCCGGCAACCGGCTCGTCAGCGCTCTCCACTTGGATGATGTGACGGTTGGCGGACTTCTGGAGATTGCGCGCGTCCCCCCCAAGGCGCGAAAAGAGCCCAGGGCTGCAGGGGTTCTTGCTGCTTCGGGCTCTGGGGCTCTGGCTGCAGATGGCCTGGTCAGACACGGAGGGTCGTAAGGCGGATAGGTGCTGAGGCTCCGGCGTTGGAGACTCTTCTGGTGGGCAGCAAATGAGTTTAGGGGGGATGAAGAAGTCAGGGATCTTTTGTGGAGTAAGGACGTTGGCATAAACGGAGACAGGAATGGCCTCTATGGTCCGGGGGGTCCGGGAATGTGTTCCACTGTTCTCCACAGAGCTCCGGAGCTTCTCCAGCAGCCACATGTCTACAGACGCTCACGCTTAACTCTGTTAACAGAAAGGTGACGCAGAGTTAAACGCACATCCACCAATAACAGCAGAAATATCCATTTGTGTTGAGGATTACTTATTGAGGAATATTGTCGACTAAATGCTTTTCTGCTCCAGACATCCTGATCTGTGTCTTTTAGTGCACTTTTTCTTTTGAAAAAAAGCTGAACAATGCAGCAATTTAGTGAAGGAAAGGAAAACATACATTATGCGATCAAGAAGTAAGCTTTCCTGTCGAAATGTATTCATTAAAATGAAGAGCTCTTTATTGTGTAATCTCCTCGAACGATATACACGAATGCTAATGAGATTATTATCGTCTCAAGCTGATTATAGTTTATAGTTTCTAACAAATCAAACTATCATCATTTTCCACTTCAAAACCACTTTATGTAGTCGGAGATTTAACTGCGCAACGATTACTGATAAAGTAATGTGCCAAAGCAAATGTGGAAAAAGAAACTTATTTTTCCCCCTTCTAAAATAGCCTCGATTACCATCCAACGCACAACACACCGACCTGTTGATTGTAGATCTCTGGTCCTCCGGAACGCGGATCTCCGGCTGCGCCGTCTCCCGCCACCTCTCCAAGCACTCTGTGCGCAAAAAGGTATTTCCCGCTAGTGGATGAAGTGTGATCCAAAACGCGCGCCAGCGGGGAAAGGCTGCGAAGGGCGCGGGCACTCTGGCTTTTTATTACGGGGGTCTCTGACTTCTGAGCCAATGAGGAGGATGTGAAAGCTCGCCATGGTTTCTACCATAAAACTACTCCCAGCCTCGGGTGAAAACTCCTTCAAAGACTCAAAGTGCTGCGTGTGATCTGCGCTTTTCCTCAATCACGCCTCGGAGATTTAACGAACAGAGCGTCACGGTGGTTTTAATTGGTGTCCACGTGACACCCGGTCTCTCATGTATCGTTATCGCGCTATAACATGCAGCGAACAGACAGGCGCCTTCATTGTGTTTCCCTTTGGCAAACTGATAATGATGATGCGGGGAGACAAAACGCTGCTATTACATCCTCCATCAACTCATTTACCAATTGTAGTGAAATACAAAGCTTCAGTCTTCATACTGAGAGTGTTTTGTAGCTACAGGAAGTGGACAAAGTGAAGTACACAAGAGACTGCAGAGGTTTTAAGCATGTTTGCCTTTATGCCTGTTTTAAAACTCTCCCAAATAAGCCTATAAATCATAAATCTTTAGTTGCCTTCTGTTTGTCTTCTCGAATCTTCCCCATGTAGGCGTGCCATGAGCAGGATTTGTCCCTTGCTGAGTGGTCACGCTCACAGACTTGGACACAAGTCACAGTCTCTGGAACGCTGCTCATCTGAGGACAGCAGCATCCAACTTTGTGAGATGTGCTTTTGTCTCTTATGTGCTGACACAGATAGTCAACTAATGACTGTGGAAGATGATCCACAGAAAATGAATAGTCAAACATTCAATAATGGATTAATTGTCTTGTCGTTTTTTTTATTATCGCAACCTGTTAAATTTGGAGATTAGTGTGCGTTTATTTCTCTTATGTGACAAACATAATATCTGTGTTTTGCATTGTTGACCATCTGGAGCCCTCAGGATGTTTTCAGATACTTTGTAGACCAAATAATGAATTGATTAATCAAGAAAATAATCTTCAGATAAATTGAGAATGAAAATGTTACTTGTTCGCTGTCATTCTGTTAATCCATTTTAACCCCACTTTACTTTAACCTACTTACCAGCCTAAACATTATAAACAGAACAGAACAAAAACTGCTACATTACAGAATCTGGTTGCTGGGAAGATTTAAAAAAGCCTGATAGCATAGTGGAAATCCCACAACATTTTCCTAAAAACATTAGGTCTGTTCATTTGAATATAGGCTCAAAAAGATTCCTAATATTGCATAAGGACACAAGACCTGAGCAAATGAAAAGTTCTCGGATTGGTGAATCGTCTTTGTTTGCCGTCTGGAACGGTTTCTGTTCGGAGAAAGCCAAAGAATTCAACCCACATTGTCTTTTACCAGGTGTTAAACGTGGAGGTGGCTCCGTCATGGTATGAGCAGCCATCTCGTAGGAGTCGGTTGGACCAGTCAATATTCCGCTGCAGGTTTCTAGAAACAACCCACCAATGTGAGGCCATATTACACCGCGAGTTGTGCCACGCTGCAACACTGTCCCTCGAATATCTATTTCAAATTGACAATCCCCCACGAATATGGAAATATTTGTATAATTTGTTGTTTTCATTATTTTGTCCACAGCAGAGATACAGTAGTACACATGTATTTGCACGCTCAATTACAAAACCAATGGCTGTTCGTTCGGCGATAAACGCTTTCATTTGCATATTTTTCTCCTTGCGATTGTAGTCGTATCTGCTTGCACACAAGCTCTCTGTGAACATGCTCTCTGTGACCCGTGTGGGTTTGTGGACGACATGAATCACTCACTTATTTGGGCCAAAGATTTTTTTTCAAACGAAATTAAGACATCTGGTGTCTCTCATACTCTCATGCATACTTTTTTGTCTTTGTAAAAATAGCAAACAAACAGATTTGGTTATAAGTTTATAAATTGAAGAATATGTTACTACAACAATGAATGCATTGCGCTTTTTTCCAATAAGCAGAATAATTATTGAGGAGGTTGGTTTCAAATCTCCTTAAATGTATTTATATTTCCAATACAAATAGTATTATACATACACAGTATATTGTGTGTGTTGGAGAAACCTGAAAATGCCAATTCGCTCAAGTGGCACACCCAACCCTTAATTGACTTTGACTGGTTCAAATGCAGGTTTATGAACATGAAGTAATTATGGTCAATGGTTTTTCTACAACCGCCTACAAAACGTTCTGAATACTTATGTAAATGACATCAGTTCATTCTATTTCTCTGGGCATAGGGGCCATTTACAGATTAGTGATGAGCCATTAGATAAGTGCATGATTCATCCACAGGTCTAGCCATTATTTGGACATTAGACCAGTCAAGTATTTACTGATTCCACAGATAAATATGTACCTCTAATGCCCCCAAACCAACTACGCTAAATGAACTATTTCATCAAAAAACATCTATAGCCAGTAGCCATTTGAGGCTGTGATGCTTATAACACACCGTAGATGGACGTACAGGGAAAAAGGGAACCGAACAAGTGAGAAAAAACTGACTTGTGCTACTTTAGGAAATAACCACCTTTTAGAAATAGAAAGGGTTTTTCTTCTGCACTTTGCCACATCTCTAACACCCTGTCAGCCTCAATCTCAAAGAAACGCTTTGTTCATCAGTCGAGGACTCACTCTTGTCTGCCTCAGCCATAAACCTCGGCTCAGTAGCCATTATTGCCTTTCCAAACGAACAAAGTTAGGGTAATGGTGGGAAGAGAAATGACATTCCAGAGGAAAGTGGAAAGGTGCAAAAAGATTTCGCCAACATGATAACCTCTCAAAAAACGCAAGCCGCTGCAACCTAAAGGAGGTCGGTAGCTGACATCCCAGTTTTTGTGGCAAAGATGGAAGGCGAGGATGCTGGAAGAGGGGGGGGGCAGGAAATGGGGAGGTGGCCATTGCCGCCGCCACCGAACGACCCATTACATTTGTCATCCCAGTTGTTGTGATGTTGGCGGAGAGTTAATCCCATGCGCAAAAGATATGTGCTGTATCTGCTTCGTCCCTAAACATGATTTGTTCGTTGCTTTCTTCCTTACAGTTAAACGACCTTGAAGGTCTTTTCTTTTATAAAGTGAGACCCCCATGATTTAAAAGGAGTTGGATACATTGTTTCCTCTCCCCTCATAGCGCAAAAGACAATGTGTTTCCTTCTTGATAAATGATACCCTACCATTAAGATTCAACACCTCTATGGCTGCAATCTGTGACGATTTAAAGTTGCTCTGGAGGCAAAGGGTGTCCACTGGTATCGACTTTTTATTTTATGAAGTGTTAAATGAGGCGGGGTCTTTCACTGATCATCTACGTTACTGTTTTGGTCACGTCTCCTAACCTTTCCTTCACGTGGGAGATTCAAATAGAAAGCTGTGAGTTACATACACAGTGTGAGTGTATTTCTGAATCAGTCTACATAGAAATAGTCAACGACAAAGTGACGCACTGCATTAAAAGGACTTTGCTTTACAGTTTCATTATTAAAAAGGCTTCCGCTGCCACACTGACACCCTCCTCATGGCTCGGAGACAACCGACCCAGCTTGTCGGGGGCCCACCGGGCACCAGGGGGGACGAATAGCAAACACACACACACACTGCTAATGAAAGGGTGGATCCTGCGTTGCTGCCGAGTTCTGATGATGCATCAAGGGATGAACACACATGCGAACCATCAGACCAGAAGCCATGAGTGTGCATGACACACGTAAACATGACAAACAGAAAAAAAAGGGAGGAGGCAGAAGGAGAAGGGGGGAAGAAGGTGCAAGATGGAGTATTTACAAAGTGAATACTAGACCTGCACCATCTGTAAAACAGTTGCCTACAGGAGGAGGGAATAAGAACGACGAAAAAAGCACTTCATAATTTGCTTAAATGTGTCACTCTGAACACTCCAAGCACAGTTAACACATAAAGCAGATGTTCTCAGCTCAATTATAATCATTCAAATACTCCGAAGGCACAGCTTGCAGCAACAGCTCATTCCCTAATTTTATGCAAATCGCACACAAGAGCAAAAAGGAATATGGACAAAACCTGCCTGAAGTTGAAATTCGAACAATAGATGAATACAGAACTTACAAAAGTACGAGAGAAACTGCCCACATCTCAAGCCCATAGCTTGGTGCAGGAACTGTGAGTGTCCCCCTCTGTGTGTGCCGGTCGTCACACCTAGTTCACCCCTTTTCTTTCCCTCCACAGTCCTGACTGTCGCAATGAAAACAAAGTGAGAAGAATCAGCTTTTATTACCATTGTTCAGTCCAACAGAGTGACCCTGTTCACGCAGAGACACTCTCCCCTAATGCGTAACACATGGACCACTGCAGCATCCCTCTGCTCTATTCAAACCATTCCACTCAAAGGAGATCTTTCCTATGGGGCAATCAGGTACATGACACAAGCTGAATGACATTCCAGCAGCAATAAGCCTGTGATATATTTATATTACATCCGCCAGATAGCGAAACAACAACTGATCCCCTCAAGCGTGCAACATGTGCCTTTTCCACATCCTCATCACCAACAATACCAGGACCTAATAATGCAATTCAAGCCTCCGTAGTTATATTTCTGTACCTGTTTTATGCTGAAAACAATATATCTTTTCCAATATAGTTGCTGTGATCTTGTTGGTTTCCCTCGGCTGTCACTCAGTTGTCCTGTACTCACATTCAATGTCAAAAAGGATTTCATTTTCTTTGTGCTGCTTTCAATCCTTCAGTCGCGTGGCCTCTCTGGATCAACGCCGCGAGCATTTCAACTTGAGCCTGCGCGTGCTTTGCAAGCGCGTTTTTTCTCCTTCCCTTGTCACGGCGCGGCATTTTGACAAGCGTCTGACAATCAAGTCTGTCAACGTGATGAATCCTTACACAATATGTTGGCAGTGAACAGTGTCACTCCAACAGACAGAGGGAAAAGAAGGGATGACCAAATGGTACTCTGTATATTTTTGACAAGAAAATAAACACAACAGCCCGGATTCATCAAATAAATGGCTGACTGAATCTCGGCAGACACCAATTGGCTCAGGGACAAGCTGTTAGTTCCACAATTAATTCATGTCAATGTTCCTTGAAACTATCAACCAACGAGAAACTAAAGATGTCACATAGAAGATTACATGAAAATCTTCCCACTGAATTTAGTTTGAACTTATGAGAAAAACAAAAATGGTCGTATTGTAACTCAAACAAATGTTTGTTTCAGGACATTATTCTGTCGTGGATGTTTCCTTTTCTAAATTCCCTCTGTGTTGCAGTAAAAAAAAAACATCCCGCTGCCTCTGAATTGGTTACTCGGAGTCGACACAAAGCCCAAGGGGAGAAGAGAGAAGCGGCGGGAGTGAAGTACTCTGGTAATAGGATGAAATAAATGAAACGAGGAACCTTTAGGCTCCTTTATGTGGTCTC